TCCACGAGTACAGCTCTCTCATCCAGCCCCTGACTCTCTTTCGGTCAGTTCAGTCTGGTTGCAGCTCAAAGGCGGAATTAGCGAGGGCGTTTCTTGATGGAGTTCGTTGGCCTCAGGGCAACTCTCTTTCTCTTTCGCAGAATAGTTCAAGGCTTGCAGGACTGTTTGTTGCGGAAGGAATAAGCAGGCGATAAGTTAGGGAATAAGAGGTATACCAGCTATTGTAAAAGCTAGTAATACTGAGCAATAATTGAAGGAATGAATATGAATTTATAATATAAACAAAGCTAACTGAAATATATTTCTGTAAAGAGTATCCCATATAACCCTTCATAGTTCGAGCTCTAACTATACGAGAGATTTCTCCACTTTGTTTGTTAAACAAAATTTACTTTACCATGCACTTTGGACATTCATTTCGGAGCGGGCCAGAAGATACTACTTGTACAACAAAGAGGTCGTACGGCAGCAGTACGGAGATTTTTCGTTATTTTTATTTTTATTTTGTATTTTTGGTAAGGAAGCCAGCTTGGGTCGTTTGCCCTGTCTGATAAATTGTTTCCGTAGAGAGAACGCTGCACGTAATTGCTGAGCGGATCGATGAAAAGTAGCTTAAGGATGCCAGACACTGGCAGAGTGCAGGTTCCTGCTGCTGCAGCTCCTGTCCAGGGGCTGTTTGTGACAAGGCCAACTAATTTGTACACTTCATAGGAAAAACCAAACGACAGTTGGCATAAAAATAGGACAATGTTTAAAAGTGCAGAGCCATTGGCATCGGAACTCCAGCAACCGTCTTGTTTCTGTGTGAAATGTAATGCAATTGCATGTCAAAAACTAACACAGACGACAGGACTCAACGGTGAGAAACTTTAAAGTGATATTTTTGTGTCGGTTAGTTCTGCACACCTGTCTTGCCGTCTGCTTCTGCTTCTGCTTTTACTTTTGGTTTTTGCTGTCACTGCAGTGTACAGTACCGAGTACCGAATACCGAGTGCGAGTACCTGTACCAGAAACAGAAGCAGAAACAGAAGCAGAAACAGAAGCAGACTGAAATGCCAGTCATGACGCCGCAAGAAAACAAACTTCTGCCTGCTTCCTGGCTGCCTTTGGGCTGTCTCTTCATACTCCTCATCCTCTGCAACCGCAGCAACACGACGCTTACTTCCGCTTTTGAGTGTTAACCAACACTCACAAATGCAGGCACACACAAACACACACAGACCAGGAGATTTCGTTGTCCTTTGACATGCATGTCTTGGTCTTTAGCTATTCCAACCTGTCTGATGCTCCTCTCTTACTGTCTCACTGCTGTCTGTGCTGTCTGTGCAGTTTTTGTCATTTTGGTTTCGTTCGTTGGCTCGTTCTTTGGGTCCTTCGTTGGCTCACTACGGTTGAAAGTCTTTCCTTCGAGCGCTGGAAGTTATGACAAGACCCTACACACAACTAGCTCCTGCCTACCTCTGCTTAAGCTTCCCTGGCATGTCGGAGCGAATCCCAGGAAAATGAGATACCAAAAAGTGCAGAAGGAAGCGTTAAAGGTGATTCACTTGCTTGTTCCTTGTTTGTTTGCAATTTGTTGTCATAATTTGTAGTTTCTGTTCTACTTGCAGCGCAGTTCTCGCGTTTGTGGATTTAGATTTCAAGCGAAAGCAGGCCAGGCCCTAACACAACCTTCTGCGCTGGGAGTGGCTCGAAGTATAAATTGTTATGGCAACGCACTTCAGGCTTAAAGAAACTCATTTTGCTGCTTCTAAAAAACCTAGGAATTCCTTGGAAGGAATGACTTTTACTTAACGGCTGACGTAAAGAGTGGATTGGGAATGATTCGTTATTTATCATTCAAATAATAATGTTTAACATTTAATGATTATTTTTCCCTACTTTCTTGATTGTTATTATTAAAAAATAGCAAATAGATAAAAACCAAACTGCTTTTATATTTTATTTTCATAAGAAGGCAACTATTTAATTTTATTTTAGTGCGTTTTCCGTGATTTTATTCGTTTGCATTCATACCTTCTCGATGTCTGTGTGTGTTTGGACTATTCTGGTGGCCATATCAATTTCGCCAACGCTTTGCTTTTGGCTCACATTATCGTTAAAATTGTATTGGATTGGTTCGGCATGCTTTGCTGACCAATTGGACAACCGACTGGCCATTGTGGCCCTCCAGTCAGCTTCAGATTGAGCTTACATGTATCCTTTTTTCTTTCGTTTTGTTCGTTTGTCTGCATTCAGTCGCACTCTGGCTGTATATCGGAGAGACCAAGTGTTTTGTGTGTGTGTGTGTGTGTGTGTGTTTATAGATTTTCCGTTATAGCCACACGAACTTCTTCTTAAAATGCAATTTTCAAGATTTTTTTCCTTACCTTTTCTCTCCGTTTGGCTGGTGGAATCTTTTCTTTTTTTGTAGCCTTTTCCATGTAGTCTCTGCCCGCTGATTTTAAGCTCTTGCCCTCGCTCCCTCTCCTGTTTGGCCAACACTTTTTGGTCTAGATCTGGCTATGGCGTGGGCCTTGGGCCACGCCCCCATTTGCTGCTGCTTGCATGTGTCAAAAGGTATTTTTTATGTTGAGTTTCGTGTTTTTCAACATTTTCTGGTTTTATTTTCTTTCTTTTCTTGGTATGGTTCGGCACAGAGCAGGTGCCCGAGAGGTGAGCGGCAGCCAAGAGGCATAAGGCATGGGGCAGGGTTCAGCGGGGCGACCAGGTGAAGCGGACCACAGGCGAGTCGAGTTGAGTCGAGTCCCATCTTGTGTGCAGGTAATGTGGCACTTGGCTAAAATGGTGTGTGAAATTTTATGCGAAATGGCTTAAGATGTTGTTGCTGTTCGTGTGGTTGTTGTCGTCGTGCTTGTTGTGCTGATATTTCTGGAACGGAACACAATCATTCTGCTATGTTGCACATAAAAAGTTACGTTGAGTGGCAGTATATATGTATGTATGTACATATATGTAGTGGGAGAGGGGTAGCAATAGTTCTCGTTGTTCGTTTTGGGTTTTCTTCTTTCTATTCTCTGACCAAGCTCTCTGCTGATGATGACATTTTCGTTTTGGTCGCTTGGATTGGCAGCAAAACACACTCACACGCGGCCCCAAGAAAAGAGGAAAAAGAAATTCGGGAAAAAGGATTAGTTAGCCTGGATCTGGACTTTTTCCTATATATTTTTTTTTCTTCTTTTCCCTTTTTTGCGGACTTGCGGACTTGAGTCAATGTTGTTAGTTTGGATTCTGGGAATGGCAAATGGCCTGAGAACGAAACTCGATTTCGATTACGTCACATTTTTTGCTCCCACTTCTTTTCATGGCAACATTTTACGTATTGTTATTTGAGTGCGTTGGAAGGAGGCTTCTTGCCGTTGCCAGTCCCAGTTCTCAGAACTGCTCACAAAGTACATACATATGTACATACTACATTTTTTAATAGGCTTGGCTTTGATATGACGTGAAAGAATTTTAGATATGGAATGGTTTATGCACTTAGGTAAGCTTAGAGCCTGCAACTCTGGAATAAAGGGTAAAACTGGCACGAAGCGAGAACGACCTATTGCCGTGGTAGGCACTGTTGGAGGCAGAGTCCGTGTAACGCACAGACGATGCCTGCAACGGGATATTGTTAAACCGTTAAGTTGCCTGAGAGATGGGAGCAGAAGATATACACATGGACTGCAGCAGTTCCAACAGAGCAACAGCGCTGTTAACACCTCAATCACTGTTAACAGCCTGTTAACGCTCTCTGCGGCCGCTCTCGTTTACAGCTCACTGCTAACACTGCTCTCTGAGAGCGCTCGCTCTCGCGATCTTTATTATGTTTTGCATGTGAGCTAACATTAAGTACCTGGCAAACCTCAAGAAGAACAGACATGGAAATAATCAGTAAATTGCGCATTAAAACGTAATCAATTCACAACTTTTATATGTGTATGAATGTACTCCTAAGTCTCCTCCAATGGTAATGGAACATTTTAATTTTCAACAACTATCTGTACAAATAGGAGCCAGCTCTTAGCCAAATTGCTAACGAGTTCATGTGTCACTTTCTGCTCCGCTTGCCACCTGTCTCTACATGTGTAAATATTCAATTAGCAGGAGTGTAACAAGCAAACAAATAATTACGACTACAACATGGGCAGCTATGTACATCATACATACATATGTACATATGTACATATGTTTGTGTATTTGAATGTGCGTACACATGCAAAAAATGCATTTTTATTTAATTTTCCCTGTTTTTAGCGCAAATAATTTTCGCGTTTTAATTCACATTTGAATTCCACATGCATTTCAATTTGTTTCCACGCAGGAAGCACTTTTACTCGTGAAGCAGCATTTTCTCGTCTTTTTGTTTTATTTCGATATGCATTGGACGAACGTTTTACATGTCAAAGGGTTATTCGACGCCGATGTGTCCGGGTGAAAAGAATTCCATTTCATGCAGAACGGGACGCATGGTGGTTCCTGGGGCCCTCGCTGAAATGCCTGACGGGTTGTCTAACCCGTATTTTCGTGCCTTTTTTGATGTTTCACTGTAACGAGGAGTCGTCAATTACAGCAAACAATGACAAGCCTCAACAGCATCAAAGGAAGACGATCACCATTCATGTCTGTCATCGTCATCATAATTTGCAAATTGCTTGTAAAAATGACTTTTAATTGTACGTGTAAAAAGGGGTACCCATCAAATCAGAAACCACTCAGAGCCTCAACTCACAAATGTTAAAACTTGAAATGCTTTTGGGATTAATTCAATTATGCTGAACAGTTTGTAAGGAACTGATGGCACGCCAGGACTTGGGCTCGTTTCTGGTTTTGGCTGCTTCTGCTTCTGCTTCTGCTTTTGACACTTGTAATTGGTGGGCGTAGAAAATCATTAATTATATTTCGAAGGGAATATGCAGGTCACGCAAAGGATCGGCTAGGATTGAAAGCACAGGGGCAAGGAAACAAAATTGAAAATTATTAAAACAGAAACCTGGCTGCAATAATTGACATTCAAATACTTCATATTTAATTTTCTTTATTACTGTCTTCGTCATCAAATCGCAAGTAACCACCTAACGATTCGTTGTCAGACAGAGATGCAACCCTTTGTCGACGTTCACGCCTTGGAGTTCGCTTGGCATCGACGGTGATGAAATTATTATTGTCATCAATGGCAACGAAATATGTGGGAATTTGTCCTGGTCCCTTCACATATGTCTTGCCACGATAGTTGCACACAATGCCAAATTCCCGCAAAAGGACGGCCGTTTCCTCGGTCACTTGGATGTGTCCGATCATGCCGGTGGAGTCCATGCGGGACGCCATGTTAACGGGGTCACCCCAGATGTCATAATGAGGTTGAGAGGCCCCAACGACGCCGGCCATCACTTCACCACTGGAGATTCCCACGGACATGTCTGGACTGATGATGGTCCTATCGTAAGATACCGTTTCATAGGCTTTGTTGAGCATGCAAAGGGTTCGCATTAGGTCCAGAGCAAACGTTGCCATCACAAAGACGACCTCATCGTGCTGATTCTCCCTGTGACCTTGACCTTGACCTGATACTGTAGAAGAGGCTCTGCGAATCAGCTGCGCCTGTTGCACTAAAAGTTAGGACACAATTTTATTAATATACACTATCCCATTGAGACTTGAATACAACTAACCTTCTTCGATTAGCGAGTCTCGATTGTTGGAATCTTCATAATCCGATTTTTTGCTAACACGATCGGCAAAGCTCACATCCAACCCACATGCTGCCATATAAGTGCAGCCAACAATTTTGATCTTCTCCACCAAGTAATTACCCTTATAGTGTTGCAACTGAAAAGGGAACCAGCAATGACAAAATAAATAATAGAATGTAATAGAATATGTAATAGCTAACCAATCTATCAAATTCCGTGATGATCTCGTTTAGTAGGCGCAAACTTCGGAGGTTCAATTCGAAATTCTTTAAAGTGGCAAACATAACGGATACAATTTTATATTCTTCATAGTAGAGCTCATGGTTGGCGAGAGATGTAAGGTAACCGTTGACTGATGGAAAGAGGCGAGTACAGATGATTTTTGCTTTAAAAGTTGATCCAAAAACTGACCAACATGAGCGGGAAGTATGTTGTTCAGGAGAATTAGTATTGTGCGGTTAGTTATATGGGCATCACGCTGCTTTCTTCCCAACTCCACGCGCCAACTAAGATAATTGAAATAGCTGATATTAGCTGATAATTAAATAACATTTTATAGAGTTACTCACTGAAAGTTGACTTTGTTTGTGAATTCCGCGTGCCGCTCCTTCAAATACAAAGTAACAAAAGTGATGACAACGAGCAAGCTGTGTGCATATTCAGCAGCGAAAAAAGGATTTGTGGTAGCACTGTGATGGAAAATGAATTCAAACTGGAAAAATATGATGATCAGATAGGCGAGCGTCAGCATAAAACAGACAACTATTTTTAAAATGAACGGAATATTAGTGAACGTAAAGGCCATTGAAATGATAAGGGAGACCACATTTGTGATTACCCAGGGATTAAAGCACATTGTCACGTCAGCATCGTAGTGATAAAGTTTACTCTCGATGGTCATCATTTCGAACTCCTCGCGGTGACAACCCATCTATAAGAGAGCACAACTTTAGGGCAAATACGCAGTCTACCAATCGAAACTCACCAGTATGATGCTGACCACGGAGTTGTAGGAACAAATGATAAAGAGATATATGCAAATGCGGAGGCTGAGGCTTCCTTGGATCTTCTCACACGTGCGAAATATTCTGCAGCTCAGTTCACTGAATCTATGGTTAATCTCCTCATTCGTGCCGTAGATGAGAAAGCATAGTTTTTTGTACCAAGCTATGACAAGCAAGATGGTCAGGCAAGTTAAAATAATAGAATCCAGCACTATGCCGGATATGCGAAGCTTTTTGTTTAGAGTCATCAGCTGTATGTAGGTCAGGCTGCATCCAATGATCCAAGCAAGCAACATGCTGTGCTTGAACATTAGGTCCGGCGACTGCAGGTACTTGCACTCTAGTTTGGAGTCCCGAAAGACCAGACAGAATTTGTTTACCTCGGACGTTAGGAGAGCATTGGATTCGTCTCGTCGTTTCAAGGAGAATATTCTTCCAGGTCTATGGGAGACTCAGTTAATTGAAATGTGTCATTTGTCCGAGAGAGTCTACACTTAACTTACTTGAAGCTATTGACTGGCATCTTACGAAACTCCTGACGCAACTCTTCGTTGATCACATCGTCGTTAGTACTGTGTAAATCTGGTCTAGAGCGCATATCGATGTAAGATTGTGAATCAATCTCTGTGTAACGTTTGGTAAAATGGGTAGAAGACTCAGTAGAAATAAGGAACGTGTTTATGTTGTGTTTGATTAGAAGGGGATCCACCGAAGCTGCGTCGGTGCCTGGCATTATCGTATACTTGCTGGGATCTAGTTCGTTCAGGGTACTGGCACTTATATGGACATATCCCGCTGAACCGGTGGATTCCAAACGATTGGCAATAGTTACATCGAGTCCTGACAATGGAAAGAAAACTTTCGATCAGTAGGGATTGCTTGTAGGGATGCTTTTCTACGATGATTAACCCACCCCAAATATCGTACTGCAGCTTCGCTTCTCCGATGACGCCTGCAATCACACTTCCCGAATGCACGCCGATGCGCATATCGATATCCACGTCATTTTCTCTCCTGCAAGAAGTTTCCAAAGTTATTCATAGACAGACTTATATCAATAGCTTACCGCACTTTCTGAATGTGAGAGATCATGGACAGACCCAGATCCACACAACAATTGGCGTGATCGGGATCAGGGCGCATTAGACCAGCCACACAGTAGTAGCAGTCCCCCAAGAACTTGATTCGCTGAACCTTAAAGTGGGTGGCAGCCATATCGAACTTTGCGAAGAGACCATGGAGCAGCCTCACGAGCGTCTCCACATCCAGTGTCGTCGTCAATTGCGTATAGTTAACCACATCCGCATACAAGATACTGACCTCGGGATGGATCTGAATGGGCACGATATGCTCCATGACGCCTGGGGAGCGGAGTCCTCCTCCCTTTCTGGCAAGTCTGTTTTGAATATCGTCTTGAATGGGCTTAGCTATCTGCGGCGGGATAATACTATGGAGCATCAACTTTTCCTGCCGTCTTGCATTGCGCAGCCATATCTTTTCCATTACATACTGATGCCGATCCAGGAAGGAGGAGCGCACAACAATATCATTCATTTTGCGAAAGAAAATACCCAGAAGGTTGAAGCACACGTGGTGGAATATATGTACAATAAACCTCCCATAGTCGTAGCGACTGTAAATATCGAAATAGTATTCCGTGGCAATATAGACAGCAAAATAGGTTATGTAGACGACGGACACTGTGACTCCCAGAAGAAGGGCACCCGACATAAGGGGTATAGGCATGAACATGTAAATCATATAAATAATATAAGTATCGTAAAATGTATCCAATGCCCAATCATGTGTGTAGTAATGATATGTGCCCTGAAAGATATCTAAGGAGGGAGGAAGTATAATAGTAGNCTTATATCAATAGCTTACCGCACTTTCTGAATGTGAGAGATCATGGACAGACCCAGATCCACACAACAATTGGCGTGATCGGGATCAGGGCGCATTAGACCAGCCACACAGTAGTAGCAGTCCCCCAAGAACTTGATTCGCTGAACCTTAAAGTGGGTGGCAGCCATATCGAACTTTGCGAAGAGACCATGGAGCAGCCTCACGAGCGTCTCCACATCCAGTGTCGTCGTCAATTGCGTATAGTTAACCACATCCGCATACAAGATACTGACCTCGGGATGGATCTGAATGGGCACGATATGCTCCATGACGCCTGGGGAGCGGAGTCCTCCTCCCTTTCTGGCAAGTCTGTTTTGAATATCGTCTTGAATGGGCTTAGCTATCTGCGGCGGGATAATACTATGGAGCATCAACTTTTCCTGCCGTCTTGCATTGCGCAGCCATATCTTTTCCATTACATACTGATGCCGATCCAGGAAGGAGGAGCGCACAACAATATCATTCATTTTGCGAAAGAAAATACCCAGAAGGTTGAAGCACACGTGGTGGAATATATGTACAATAAACCTCCCATAGTCGTAGCGACTGTAAATATCGAAATAGTATTCCGTGGCAATATAGACAGCAAAATAGGTTATGTAGACGACGGACACTGTGACTCCCAGAAGAAGGGCACCCGACATAAGGGGTATAGGCATGAACATGTAAATCATATAAATAATATAAGTATCGTAAAATGTATCCAATGCCCAATCATGTGTGTAGTAATGATATGTGCCCTGAAAGATATCTAAGGAGGGAGGAAGTATAATAGTAGAAGTCTAATATACAGTCTAATATACAACGTACTCACCAGCAGTTACCAAAGTGAGTGCTGCAATCACGGAGCTCACATAAGTAATCCACGAGTGTCGCGGGGCGAACTTCTCACAGAAATTGATGCTCAAGACAGTTACAATAATGAATGCAGATACTAAATATATACACACATCGATCAAAATTAAGTGGGTATGCTGGATAAAGATGGTTGTTGCTTTCATAGTAATACTGGATAATAGTTCTTGCTCGACTTACCGGGCAAGTTAACAGTAGAATTGCACAATGGACGATGGTTATGAGAGTATGCAGAAGGCAGAACACGCCAAGAAAACTGTTCCATAGTCGTACATGATACAGGCGGAATTCCTCCTCCAAATGTAGCTCCTGGCATTTTACCTGTGGGATATTCACGTATTTAAAAGTTTGCGCCATTTGTATGTCTTACAATATTAACCAAAAGGTAGCTGCGCTCCCACAGGCGCTCTTTGTTAAAGTTAAACTGACATTTATCGTCAGTGAAGGTTTGTTGAGGCATTCTCTTTTTCTTGTATATTCTATATTCCCTGACTGCTTCTAAATGTATTACAAGTACAGTGAACTTTTTGTTGAGTTTTTCCTAAAATATTGGAAAAAGCAAAAGCACTAAATCACAGCCTATTCGATTGGCATTAAAATGGTATATCCAGACATTTATTTATTTGCATTTTTGTCTGCTGCTGTCTGTCTGGTTGTTCTCCTTGATCTGAGCGGTTGGTTTAATTGCTTTTACTTCTCACACTGCCTTTCGGGAGAGGGACCGCCAGGGGTTAACGGGACTTTTCGAAGAGCGTTGCTTCAACTCACTGCTGCTTTCTCTATCCATTCGTTTCGGTGTGGGTGTCGTTCCCGGAGACTGCTGCTCTCTCTGTCTCTCTCGACTGATTCTCGGTGTTGTGCTGCTCTTTGCACTATTGCAGCGCTTGTAGAAGCAGCCGAAACGTCTCGCGTTTACTCTTTCTTTTGTGTCGCCAGCTAGTACAGCTAGTTAAACTTTGCAGTTATATGCATATGTATGTAAGTACATACTCGTACATGTACTCGTGTACAATATAACAGTGCAAAGTGCAAACTATCATCAGCCAGTGACAGCAAACTAAGCAAACTTCCCACTCCAACAACCCAAAACGTAAATATGTATCAACTCCGTTGATAATAAATAGAATGTATAAATAAGATTTGAAAATCCCAAAAAAGTCAGTTTAAATTTTCATGTCTATACATTAGCTTTGTTATTGTTTTCATTGTCTTCATGGCGTATATCGGAATCTACTGATTCCTTTTCGGACTGAGATGATTGCTCTTCCCGGTATTGACGCATTGGATTTCGTTCAAAATGGATTTTGATAAAGTCATAATTCTCATTAATGGCCTTTTAGTTGCACGCAGTGCCAACTTGCGGATGTGTCCGATCATGTCGGTGGAGTCCATGCGGGACGCCATATTAACGGGGTGTCCCCAGATGTCATAATGTGGGTGAGATCCACGGAATGGACCTGTCTGTGCCAATGACAGTTTTATCATATGAAACCGTTTTATAGGCCTTGTTGAGCATCCAAAGGGTTCGCATTAAGTCCCCGGCAAAAGTTGTCATCACAAAATCGACCTCTTCGTGCATATTTTCGGATTGATTTTGCTCTGATGGCGAGGAAGAGGATCTGCGAGTCATCAGGGTCTCTTCCACTAAAAAGTAAGAAATCTTTATTAACACACATTATCCCACACAAACTTGATTACAACTAACCTTCTTCGATTAGCGAGTCTCGATGGGTCGACCCTATTATGTAAGATTTTTTGCTGATATGATCTGCAAAGCTCACATCCAACGCACATGCAGCCAACAATTTTGATCTTCGTTTCGTTTAGTAGTCGCCAAATTTTTTAAAGTGGCAAACATAACGGATACAATTTTATATTCTTCATAGTAGAGCTCATGGTTGGCGAGAGATGTAAGGTAACCGTTGACTGATGGAAAGAGGCGAGTACAGATGATTTTTGCTTTAAAAGTTGATCCAAAAACTCACCAACATGAGCAGGAAGTATGTTGTTCAAGAGAATTGTGATCGAGTTGTTAGTTATATGGGCATCACGCTGTTTTCTTCTCAACTCCACGCGCCAACTAGGTTAATGTAAATAACAAATATTAGTATTAAATAACAGTGTCAGTCAGGCTCTGCTTTACACTTGAACAAATACTTTTCGATCTACTGTGGAAAACGAAGAGTTTCGTGCTCCCGTTTTCTCAAATTGCAAATTCATGTACAAACACTCACTTAAAGTTGACTTGGTTTGTACACTCAGTGTGTCGCTCCTTCAAATACAAAGTAACAAAAGTGATAAAAATGAGAAATCCATGTGCATATTCTGCCGCAAAGAAAGGATTTGTTGTCGCACTGTGATGGAAAATGAACTCGAACTGGAAAAAATGTATTTAAAAGGTGGGCAGTCGTCATCAAAAAACAGACAACTATTTTCAAGATGAACGGAATACTAGTGAACGCAGAGCCCACTACAACGATAAGGGCCCCCACATTGGCTATTACCCAGGGATGAAGGCACATAGTGGAATCAAAATCATAATGATAAAGTTTACTCTAGATGTACATCATTTCGAACTCTTCGGGGTCACATCCCATCTAAAACCGAGCACAACTTTAGGGCAAATGCGTAGTCTATCAATCGACACTCACCAGTATGATGCTGACCACGGAGTTGTAGGAACAAATGATAAAGAGATATATTGCGGAGGTTGAGGCTCCCTTGGATCTAAGAACAGGATCCACCAAAGCAGCATCGGTGCCTGGAACTATCGTATACTGGCTAGGATCTAGTTCGTTCAGAGTACTGGAACTTTGTGGACATACGATTGGCAATGGTTACGTCGGTTTCTGCAAGTGGTAAGAATTGTTTTGCAATTTATAATCTTAGACGCTGATCTAGAACATCCAACACACCCCAGAAGAGACCATGGAGCAGCCTCACGAGCGTCTCCACATCCAGTGTCGTCGTCAATTGCGTATAGTTAACCACATCCGCATACAAGATACTGACCTCGGGATGGATCTGAATGGGCACGATATGCTCCATGACGCCTGGGGAGCGGAGTCCTCCTCCCTTTCTGGCAAGTCTGTTTTGAATATCGTCTTGAATGGGCTTAGCTATCTGCGGCGGGATAATACTATGGAGCATCAACTTTTCCTGCCGTCTTGCATTGCGCAGCCATATCTTTTCCATTACATACTGATGCCGATCCAGAAAGGAGGAGCGCACAACAATATCATTCATTTTGCGAAAGAAAATACCCAGAAGGTGGAATATATCTACAGTAATCGTGCCATTGTTGTTGGGTCTGTAGTACTCCGTGGCAATATAGATCACATAGTAGATGATGAGAACGACGGACGCTGTGACTCCCAGCAGCAGGGCACCCGACATAAGGGGTATCGGCATGAACATTATATAAATAATGATATAAATGTTTCCAATGCCCAATCATGTGTGTAGTAATGATATGTGCTCTGAAATATATCTGAAGGATGGTAAAAATATAAAATAATAGAAGGTCTAGTATACAACGAACTCACCAGCAGATACCAAAGAGAGTGCTGCAATCACGGAGCTCACATAATTTATTCTCACAGAAATTGACGCTCAAGACAGTTACAATAATGAATGCAGATACTAAATTTATACACACATCAATCAAAATTCAGTGGATATGCTGGACAAGGATGGTGGAAACTTTAGGCGTAAACATAAATACTGTATAAAAGTTCTTCTTCGACTTACCGGGCAAGTTAATAGTAGAAGTGTACAGTAAAGTATGGTTATGAGAATATGCAAAAGGCAGAACACTCCAAGGAAACTATTCCATAGTCGTACCTGATACAGACGATATTCCTTCTCCATATGCAACTGCTCACATTTTGCCTATGGATATTCCCGTATACACCCAGAGTGGGTGTATTTATTTAATAGATTTACCATAGGAAGCTGCGTTCCCACAAACGCTCTTTGGTAAAGTCAATGCATTCTGATTTTTTGTACGTGTTTTTTGTATTTTTCTTGATTATGTCTAAATGTTTTTTAACTACTGAAACGTTAAAGTACAGCCAGCTTAAAGCCTACTTTGAATGCAATCATTCCGATACATGCACATCTGTGAAACAAATGATCAATGAACAATTTGTCATGTATTGTGGGAGATATTTTGAAGAACAACATTTTGTAAGCTCCAACCACCCAGGCAACTGCGCATACCCTCCTGTTGCCCTGTAAAGCCCAATGCAACAACACACCCACACACAGTCGCATGGAGGGAGAGTTTGCCAATTATTGCAGAAAATCCAAGAGCAGCAGCAGCAGCAGGGAGCATCTTTGGACATTTACCGTTTAAATTTTACATGTTTCGTTTTGCTATGATTCTTCTTATTCCGTATTCCGCTTGTTGTTGATTTTGTTACCTGTCCCGTTAGGCTTTGGGCATGTCTGTTCTCGTTCGTTTTTTTGTTGTTCTTAAAATGCATGTCGTGACGCGCCCTTTGGTCTTCTTATGATGCTGCTGCTGCAGCCGCGTCGCCGCCAACTGCATAGAGATAACGGCACATTGGCGTTGGCTGCGTTTTCGGCGCCTGGGCTGCCGCTGCAAGTGGGTGCAGCCCATACATATGTACACTCCGCTCCACCACTCCCTATACAAAAAGTTAAAGTTTTACTGCGACAAACATCGATGTTCACTGAGATTACACTTTAATATGGTGAGTGATCTACTTCATATGTAAATATGTACATATGTACGTACATATGTATTTATATAATGCCATAACTGTTTAGAGAGTGCAATCGGTTAATCATCTTCGTAGCTCTGAGAGCTTTCGCTAGCTGCCCAAAATGAAGTAACCGTTTGCCGTCGCTCACTGGGATTACTCCAATGGGTCGGGGGCACGAATTCAAATTCATCATTGATGGCAATAAAGTAGGTGGGAATATGTCCAGCGCCTTTTACAAATGTTATCCCACGATAGATGCACTCAACGCCAAATTCACGCAACAGATTGGCCGTTTCCTCGGTCACGTGAATGTGTCCGATCCGGCCGGTGGAGTACATGCGGGAGGCCATGTTAACGGGGTCACCCCAGATGTCATAATGTGGGTGAGAGGCGCCAACGACTCCGGCCATTACCTCACCACTAGAGATTCCAATGGACATGTCACCGCATATTAAAGAACGCTCATAGTGCAACTTAAGTTCTTCATAGGCTTTCTTAACTGTCCAGAGGGTGCGCATTAGGTCCAGGGCAAACGTGGCCATCACAAAGACAACCTCCTCGTGGAGCTCTTCTTCATGTTTTATATTTGAAGAATGGCGAATGCGCTGTGCCTGCCCCACTGAAACGATATGGATCGCGATTTATCTAAGCATATGTTTTTTATATTTACATTCGAGTCTCGTGTCTTACCCTCATCCAAAAGTGAATCATGCCTCTCAAACCGATTGTTGATGCGATCGGCATAGTTCACATCCAATCCGCATGCTGCCATATAAGTGCAGCCAACCACCTTGATCTTCTCAACCACGTAGTACTCCTTATAATGAATTAACTGAAATTGAAATGAGCGCCACGTATTGGACATTCAGAACTCAGTTCTCGGAACTCACCAATCGATCAAACTCCCTGATAATCTCATTCAGCATGCGCAAGTTTCTTAGATCCATATCAAAGTTTTGTAGAGAGGCAAACATAACGGAGACCATTTTATACTCCTCATAGTATAGCTCATGCTTCGCTAGGGTAGAAATATAGACGTTGACTGTGAGTAGAGGAGAGAAATCGATGAGAGAGTCAGGCAGTCAACACGGCAGCCAAGAACCCACCGACATGCGATGGGAGTATGTTGTTCAGAACAATTGTAATGGATTGGTTGGTCCTATCCGCATCCTTTTGCTTTTTCCATAAATCAACACTCCACCTGTATCCGATTTTGTTATTGAACTCCGAATGGCGCTCCTTCAGATACATCGTGAAAAGGGTCATTAATATGCGCATACCATGAGCATTCTCCGAGGGGAGCCATGGATTAATGGTGGCACTGTGATGGAAAACGAACTGGAACTGGAAGAATACAATCACCATATAGGCGCTCGTCAGCGACAAAGTGATGACCGTCTTAACCATGAACGGTATGCGAGCGAAGGTAAAGCTGATGCCGATGATCAGTGCCACCATATTTGTGACTACCCAGGGGTGAAAGCACATGTTAAGGTCCAACTCGTAGTGATAGAGTTTGCTCTCAATGTCCCTCATTTGGAACTCTTCCCAATTGCAGTTAATCTGTGGAACAAAGTGGAGCTGTTTATCTCAGCATCCTCATCTCATCTTTCCCGAATACTTACCACTATGATAACGATGATGGAGAAGTACGTTGTCAAGATGAAGATGTAGATACAAATCCGCAGCGTCATATGACGCACGATTTTGTCGTGGGCGTGGAATATCATGCAGTTCAACTTCCCATACAGGATCTTCTCGCTACGACCATAAATTAGCCAGCAAATCTTTTTGTACCAGGCAATCACAAGCAAAATTGTGAGGCTAAAGAACGCGAACAAGTCAATCAAAATGCAAACTTCGCAGGGATCCAGGCTCTCCACCATCTGAACGTACGCCAGGCTGAATCCAATGCACCAGGACAGCAACATGCTGTACTTGAACATGTAGTCTGGCTGTACCAAATACTTCCATTCCAAAAGAGGGTCGTGAAAGTGCAGGCAAAACGCTTGTATAGACTTATCGGAATCAGTCTCACCCTCAGGCTTATATCCGCAACAGGTTGAACACGACTGGCCAAGTCTGTGAAGTATAGGAGGTAGTTATGCCAATGTTATTGTTGCCACAATCAACTCACGTCATGCCACTGACCGGCATATTTTTAAACTCCTTACGCAGCTCTTCGTTGATCGAATCCTTGGGGCCAATTGCCATCCTACTACGAGTGTGCAGCTCCGGTCTGTCGTTTAAGTCAACTACCGACAAGGACAATGAGCCCCAACTGTCCAATCTGTATGCATCCGGATCCAGAATTTCAGCAGCAGTCAGCAAATGGGTTGTGATATTGTGTGCCTGCAGAAACCGATCGGCTCGGGCTTCATCTGTGCCGCTAAATATGGAATACTGATTAATGGCCAATTCGTTTAAGGTCCTGCCACTTATGTGAATGAAGCCTGGCGCACCAGTGGACTCTAAACGATTGGCAATCGTAACGTCGGTTCCTGCAAGTGAAAAGCATATTTTTGCAATAGATATATTCTAGAATGTATCCAACACACCCCAGATATCAAACTGCAGCTTAGCTTCTCCGATGACGCCTGCAATCACACTGCCCGAATGTACGCCAATACGCATATCGATGTTCACTTCATTTTCCCTCCTGCAAAGAAGTTTCCAACGTTATTTACACACAGACATCGATCAATTACCTACCGAACTTCCTGAATGTGTGAGATCATGGACAGACCGAGATCCACACAGCACTTGGCGTGATCGGGATTCGGGCGCATTAGACCAGCCACACAGTAGTAGCAGTCCCCCAAGAACTTGATTCGCTGAACCTGAAACTGCGTGGCTGCCAAGTCGAACCTTCCGTAGAGGTCGTGCAAGAGCCTCACCAGCCTCTCCACATCCAGTGTCGTCGTCAAATGCGTATAGTTAACCACATCCGCATACAAGATACTGACCTCAGGATGGATCTGAAGGGCCATGATCTGCTCCGTGACGCGCGTTGATTTGCCCTCACCGCTCTTTCTCGCCAGTCTGTTCATTATATCGTCTTGAATTGGCTTTGCTATCTGCGGCGGAATAATGCTATCCAGGAGCAGTTTCTCCTGGACTCGAGCATTGCGCAGCCAGATCTTCTCCCTTATGAACTGATGACGATTCAAGAAGGAGCAGCGCACCACATTGTCATTTATGATTCGGAAGAAGATTCCCAAAAGGTTGTAGCAAATATAGTGTATGATGTCCACAATTATTTGGCTGTACGCATCTACACTCTCCATGCTGAAGTAGTGGAACCGCGAGGCGACGACTTTCATGAAGTACGCAATGAACCCAACGGATACCGAGGATGCCAACAGTACCGAGCCCAGGAGTGAGGGTATTGGCAAGAACATGTAGATAATCAGGATGGTATAAGTGTCGTACGCAGTGGCCAGCATCCAGTCGTTTACGTTGTAATGATACGTGCCCTGTAAGGCATCTACAGGAAGCCAAGGCATAATAAAGAATGGAATTTAATCACAAAAAATGCTTACCAGCAATTACCAGAATCAGGGCAGATACCGCAGAAGTAGCTGTCAGAATCCAAGTGTGGCGCGAGACAAAATCCTCGTGGAAATTGATGCTGAGTATACTTAGAATGAGGACGGCGGTGATCAAATAAACAGCAACATCGAACAGAATAAAACGAACATGCTGCACAGAAACTCAATTAGAATCAACTCTCTAGTTCAAAGACTGCGATTGTTACTCACAGCGCTAAGCAATAGGATCACTGTACAGTGAAACAAGGTGGCAATAATATGTAGCAGATAGAAAACCCTCAGATAACTGGTCCTCTGACGTCTCTGATACAAAACGAACTCGTGCTCCAAGCCCAGCTCAGCGCACTTGACCTGTGTGGAAATACCATTAAAAAGATGCCAAAATTGTGTTTAGTTTCAGTGCGTACAAACCTTCAGATAGTCTTGTTCCCATCTGCGTTCCTTGGTATAATCGAGGGGACATTTTTTAAATATATTCCTTATGGGTGTTGGCATTTTGTTTTCCTATGTGTTGGATGTTTTTGTCTGTGTTGAATGGTTTTACATGTTGTTTCTGCCAAAGGTAGTATTTGAATGAATACCTAATACAGGCTAGGCCTACTCTCTAGTTGCAGCAAGTGTCATTGGTTTTTCCCATCTTTTAGGGAGGATCTTGCCTTTTTTATTGACTTAAATCTCACTAATTCATTTCTCCAATTGCAAATTCCAAGCAAATTCCAGTGTATGCAAAACAGAGTCAATGTTGGTCGAAAATTCACTTGACCCCCGGTCCTGTCGTACGAACCGCATGCAGTTTGTAGATGCCCCTGTGCACTCCCTTCTTGTGCCCTGCCTGCCAGCTGCTGTGTTGTGTTTTGTGGTTTTATTGGTTTGCGTTTGCACATTCCATTTGCAAAATGATTGGAATTTATGCTTACAGATTAGATGGCCACGCAGCCTTTAGCTTTTGCTGTAGCCCCCGACCACGTTCCTTCCTTTCTGGGTGCGCACTTTCACTGAGGCTTCCACTGGCACTTTCACCCTTTCATTCAGCCTTGTCCGACGTCCGACGTCCGACGTCCGACTGCGGTTGTTGCTCTTTTTGCCAGACGGATGCAACCCCAAGCAGGAGCCGCCTCATGTGTCAGTGTCCTGTACATGCCCCATGCCCATTGACATCGTTTGTGCTGTTGTGTCCCTATGGCATTGCTCTGGTCTTTCTTGGTTTTTGCAAAATCGCTGCGGCAACTTTGATGTCTGAAAAATGTTGCATTTCGGATTCGATATTTGGGGCCCTGTCTGGTCTCCGGTCTTCGGTCTTCGGTCTCCGGTCTCCGGTCCCATTGGTCAAATGTTGCGTGCCCGGCAACCGCTTTGAACCGGCCGTGCCAGGATCCTTCGCTGGTCCCTTCATCCCCATGTCCGTGTCCGGATCTGATGATTTGCAATGGCATTGCATGAGGTGGCCCATAATGAAATGCTGAAATGCAGAAATACCTACTGAAGGCTGAACTCTGAAATACCGAGAGCCTTCGTGCTAGCCCTGTCAAAGCCGTCACCAATATACGCCCAGCTGCGCAAATTAAATAATAGCCGCGAGTGCATAAAAAGAGAAACCGGAGTGAACTTTATTTCACTTAAAGCCAAAAGCAACACCAGCCGGAACGTAACTGTAGCCATTGTCGTGGCAAGGATTTCACCCATCCACAGCCAACCCAGCCAGCCAGCGTGCAAACAAACATGTGAACACACGAGTGTAGTTTATGCGGCGAACAAGGTTGCGATTTGGGAAATAGTATAGTGAAATATATGACAGATTTATACCTTTTCCAATGGGGCAACAAATGAACATTTGTAATGAAAAGATTTCTGCAAGTTGCTCGATCTTCATTTACTTTTCGCTCTCGCATAAACATTAATTTACACCCACAAACATATATGGAGAGGAAAAAGTTCTGTGTCTGTGGCTCGCTCTCGCATAAGGTTACATATTTTTTAAGCCAATTTTACAGGCCACTGCCTAACAAGGACATTAATTGGTAGCTGCTGCTTCAGCTAGCCCGGCTCTGACGTCGGCTCTGGCTTTGGCTTTGGCTTTGGCAGTGGCTCTCACTCTGGCTGATTCGCCTTCTCTGTGTGCCACGCCCCAGCCAGTAGTTAACTGTATGCGTTACATTTCGTTTCACTTTGCCAAATATATGTTTGCATGAAAAAAATGATTTGTATATACTCCAGCAGAGGGTACTGTAATTGCAACGGAACAGAAATGGATGCCTCTCTGATCTTATAAACTTTAACAGCTATAACCTGGCTGGTCTTTCTACTCATATTGGAACGATTGTAGCTTAAATATCAGTCTGGAAGTTAGCAAAGATAATTTGTTTATTGCTGGAATTTAATCCTATTAAAACGACACAATTGATTGACTAAACCACAAAGCTACAAATTGGCCTACAGGTAACATTGGTAGATACAAATGGAATTGATAATTGTTTGGATTGTATTTATTTTCACATAAAAATAGGATCCATATTGGGTGTAATTATATTTGTTTATAGTTTTTATTCTCATAACATTAACCCAAACACAGCTGCACTTAATCAAAATGTCTTTACTTCTGCCACTTAATCAGATTCCAGCGTTTACGTAAGGAAAATCTAGCAGGGAAAACTACACAATATAAACGCTGAATCCGCGAGGGTATCTAACAATTCGTACCCTGAAGCTAGATTACCTTTCGTTCTTTTTTTGTATGTTTCTTTTTTTTGAGCAATTTTTTGCTTGGCTCCCTTTTTCATGGTTTTTATTCACTTCAATATTTACTTAACCCTTTTTTGTATGCCACCAACGTTGGCGTCGACTTCTCGGCTGCTGTTTAGCTCCTCTCTGTAGCCGAGCAAAGGCGAACCTTCAGCCTTTGGCAACACGGCAATGGCCAGGGCAACGGCAACGGCAATGGCTACCATTCCATGTTGTTTTTGCTCTTATGATTAAACATGCCTTTCGCTTTTGTTTAAGCCCGACCAACTCTTGCCTTAAATATTGCATGAATGTCTCGTGGAGTAGTGGGAGAGGTCGGACTAAGTCGAGTCGAGTCGAGTTGTGGGTAAAGTCTGTACTGTACCTTGTGACCAGTTAATTAGCTGGCACTGCTGACTTTTGCCGCTTGACGACATATTTCGTTTAAGGTTCAAGTGTTTCCAGCCAAGTTCGAAGTTCCGAGTTAAGTCCTCCTCGCTACCTTTCGGTACCCTCCACCCGGGGGCAGAGACGGGGACTGGCATGTAAAAGTGCGATTATAGTCGCATAATTATCACGCTGACATGCCCACACACAGAGGATCGAGAGAACGAGGCTGGCAGGGGGTGCGAGTAGGTAAACCCATACAGAGAAAATGCCAAAATGTAATTACCTGGCAAACAAACCGCAATTTCTCGGTACACACTCAGCTCTTCACAAACGAACTACTACATATACATATACCTATGTATACACATATATACGTTTGTACATACCGACACACATACCGATGAAAACTAAGTGAAAGTGGACACGCAACAAGCAAAATACATGGAAACTCTTTGCGTCTGGGCCAGGCAAAGTTATAGCCAGAGATGACATCGTGTGACATGGAGTGGAACCTAAGTGTTTGATGAAGAATGGAAACGGACATCTAATCACAAATGCAAAATGTAGCCATGAATTTCTATTAATTTAGTCGCAATATTCTTTCAGCATTGTCCACCATTTCGTGTAGTTAAATTGAAAGACAAATAGATGGGAGGAAGTGTGCTGAAATGTCATCGCCTTTCGTTCATTTCACGACCACTCACCCCAGTTGTGCCCATCACTAAACTGTAAAGGCCATCTGCTTCACCTGCAAAACTTTTTTGGGGGGTTTGTCATTGAAGGGGACTTGCGTGTTTGCCCTGCCATTGCCATTGCCCGAGTCGGGTGGGTGCAGGCTCGAGCTCGAGCTCGAGCTAGGGTCTGGGTTTGGGTTTTGAGGTTGGGTTTGGGTCGGGTCGGCACTTTGAAGGCGATATCGTTAATGTTGCCGTTGATTGTGTCCAAATGGGCCAACACTCAGCAGCCATTCGCAGCAGGAAAACTGTTTGGCGAGGGACTTCACTTGCTTCGTTTCGTGTTGGGTTATATTTTTCCAGTTGCCCCCCGTTCCAGGGGGTGCCTGTAAATTTCGTAATTTATTTGGCAATCGGCGAACCGTTTGGCGCGTTCAATGCAACACTTTAAGCATATTTGCAAGGTTTTTAAAATATAAATAAACAACATAATTCCCCAGCCATAAACCGAAGCAACAAATACAGTCAACGCTGGCTACAGCCGGAACATTTCCCAACGAAAATGGGGAAAAGAACAACAGCAGCAGCTGCTGCTGCTGACCAAAAGTGACAACAGCAGGCAGGCCTGGCAGGCCTGGCAGGCAGGCAGTCAGGCTGGGGACATCATGGCCCAAACCAGACACTGGAGAGACTGGGCCTGAACTACGGGTAGGCAGAATGCTAATTTTTGGGTACTCTAATGATGTGATAATGCTTGAAGTGCCTTATATGGTAATAGGTCTCCATAATGAATGCAAAATACTTTCGAATCAGGCCAGTCTGGCTGGAACTTTGCATTTTGGTCTAGCTTAAAATTTGTTTAATTTCTATGTTTAATTTTGTTCAAATTGTAAAGCAACTCTTTCAGTTAAAGTGAATTAAATGTTTTTAATAGTAAATTGCAACTTGCATTATTCCATGCCAGAAACAATATTTTCGTTCTTAGGTAAAGTTTATTGAAAAATAAATATATATAAATAATAATAATAAAAAATAATAATAGTTACACATTTTTGCACAATTTATATGCTAGCTAGAATGGAATGGAACACGAACTTCCATTAAAAGTCTCTCTCTCTCTCAGTCTACAATTAACCCAAAATAATATTTAAATATGCCAAAAGCATATTCTATAGGGTATAGCTGTATGAGGATGAGGGCTACTGTTTTCGCAGCCCCCTCCTTGGTGTTCCACCATTAACCTCCTTCTCTTATATTTTTCGCGAGTTTCCATGCAGCCTATTTTGAGTGGCTCGTTGCTTTTATTGGCCCGGTTGGTTGACTGGACCGGCCTGCTCCGTGCAGCAGCTATTTATGTAGTCACCGATCCGGCTGAGAGCCTGCAACTGCACTGGAACCGTTGCAACGGCGCCTGGACTGGAGCTAAGGGCTTTTGTGCAGCGCGGACGGGCCTGATTGCGGGCAGCATCATTTGGTTAACACAATTGTGCGGTGCATGGTCAATGCCGTTGACGTTTATGGTGTGTTGTTGGTCTAGGACATGGCTATGTTGTTGCTTCTGCCCGTGCCCTCTGCCCTCTGCCTTTTTCCCGCTTCTCCTCATTCTCTTGTTCTTCTTGCGTGTGCTATCATTAAGTGTTGAAAATTTCATCAAACACTTCAAAGCGGACCACGTGCCGGGCTATGTAACTTCCCCTCCGCCCCGACCCACGCTCGTTTCAGTTTATGATTCTATTATTTTCACAGCAAATAAAAGAGAAAACTGCGTAT